AAAGTTGAAAGACGTTTTATTTTAGGTATTGTAAGACCCCTCTAATTTCCAAAATATGCTAATATAATTTTAATTCGGTAGTAGCAGAAAGAGGAAAAAGGTAATTCCGATTTTATTCTCGATTTCAGACTCCAATAACAGTTTCCATCTGCACACAGATTTCAAAACTTTCTTTTCTGCAAATTACTATTTGTTATATTGTTTAAATAGGCAGCGTCTTCGTTTTTGTATGTATTCATTCAACGTTGAAGCAGACGCAACTGACTATGTTCATCTAACGTTAACGGGCAAAATAAAAATATGGAGATTAAATTACTCAAGAAATATTATGCAGAATAAAAGTCTGGAACTCCATAAAAATGACACAGGCAGAAATATTATCACAGGATGTACATACTATATACACGTAACACAAAGTCTTCGACGAGTTATGTGTTGGATATTGAAAACAATATCAAGCTTAATAGAATCAAAGAAGGATTAGTACTAATTCAACATGTTGAGATTACTAGATAGCGAATTAGCATTAAAAAATCACCACTCACATACAAATGTCATGGAATACAAAAGGGAAAAAATCCACATTTCGCACATATTATCAGTAGAAGATTGTTAGCTATTTTCGGCATCTATCTAAAGCAGTGTTCTATATTTGCACTGTAAAAGGTTAAGCATACAAAAGATCTAATCTAAGCACATGTATATTAAAAGGCTTTTAGTTTTTATATATCAGTGAATGTCAAGGATTTAATAAAAAAAGAAGTTGCATTTAGTTATAAGTATACAATTTACACTGAAATAGAACAGCTTTTATTCATGTTATAAAACGATTGATTGGTTGTTGCTTAAGGTCCATTGGCAAATAGTTCATGCATGTTCAGGGCGAGAACAAATTAACAATAAATAAAATAGATAGGTCCTGTCATTAGGCTCGACCGGAATGAAGGGCGGGAAATTTAAACTGTCACTGAAAAATGAGGGTAAACTGGATAGGGACAGAAATTTTGCCTTGCAACAGGCTACCTATGGTTGCATCAAAGATGTGTTGCGAGCGTTCTTAACGTGCAAAAAGGGTGGCACAATCTTTACATCAGGCATCGGATCTAACGTCCTCATTCTGACCGGACGTGGTTGACTTTGGCAATGGTTTTACTGCCAGTTGGAAGAAGACCAAAGTGACCACCTTTCTATTTCCTAGTCACCCTTTGGACATATTATAGAGATATTTACTAAAATACTATGTATCTCAGAGTCGCATACACAGTGGTTAGGATCACAAATTGCGTTTAATGGAGGAGCTCTCAAAACCCAGATGAACACTATCTGTAGATGGATATTCCCCTTTTGCGTATTTCATGACAGTATACTGTAAAAGCAGATACTTCGTTTGGGATTTAATTGCGTTTATTTCGTGGATAAGAATTATTCACGAAATTAAAACCCCAACGAAAATTTAACTGTAAATTTATAAAGAAATAACTGTACGAAACGATTTTTATGAAGCAGTGCAAGAAAGTTCTTTTCTTGATTTTAATTTAAGACATCGAATATGGCTAGTGCATGTGCCTTGCTCCTCCCGGAACGTCCAATTTCTTTACGAACTTTGTCAAGAGAGGGACGAAAGATACCAGAGGGACAGTCAAACTCATAGATCGAAAACAAACTGACAACGCCATGGCCAAAAATAAAAAGACAAACAGACAAATAATAGTACAGATGACACAACATAGAAAACCAAAGACTAAGCAACACGAACACGAACTCAAAGTATGGCATCAATACGGATTTTGCGTATTCTGTCATTGTAACACTTGTTGACCAGTGATTCTCAGAATGCGTTACATTCCAGTCTTTTGGAAATGTGTATGTAGGATGACATCTCTCAGTTGTACCTTTGTAAATTAATTGAAACGGAAGTCATGAACCTGTCAGGGAAATTCCAACCACACCCGTTATTTCTCTTTTATCATATAATGCAACGATACTACAATCTTTTGATCCCTTTTCTTCTAAAGTCGATTCACTTGTAGGAACCATTTTAAGACCTGTCTGGTCAAAGTTTATAATCAGTTCATGTGTAATATCATACTCGTCAACACATTTTGTATTTTTTTTTCAGATATTCCGCTTTTAAGTTTTCAAAATCTTCCGGTAACTTTCTGGCCGTTTTTGTCCCTTTCCTTTTAACAAGATTCATTCGCCTCATACGTGATCTTGCATAATCTCGACTAACATCTAAATGTCCTCCGTTTTCAACAAGTAAAGCACGATTTTCAGCTCTAACTATGCCACGGGCGGCAGCAATAACTATAGTCGTATTTACAACGCCACCAGCAGCACGTAAATTTTTCACAAACATTTTTACTCTGTCATCAAGTTTATCTCCCACATCAGGGGCCTACCTCGAACTTTGGTAGGCAATTCCTTAATTTCAGATGCAATTCTCTGTTCAAGGTTTATCTTAATCTTCTTACGGCATTCGTCTCTTATACTTCTGATTGTTGTTTCCGACACCCGTTTTCCGAGATCACTTGATATTTTTCTCGACGCTTTTGCCACACCAAAATCATTTGCGATTTTTGCAAATTATGCACGTTCTTCAGGCGTATATGATCTATATTCTCCTCGTTTCCTTTTACCCGGTCTAGAAGGTGAAGCTTTTGGGGAATAACTTAAACTTTCGATCGCTTCATTTGCTGCCGTGATTGCTATTGCATCATCCTCGGAAGTTGCACGGCTCGGTGAAGGAAGATGGTTCACGTATTTTAGAACTTTTAATCCATTTTAAGATAGACATGTATTCACTTCTTGTTACAGTTAATGAATGATAAAATGTAAGTTCACAAAACTTAATTACTGCTCACTGACACTATTAAATGCACTATTGATTTTTCCCAACGGCGAAAGTTAAGATTAGTTTTATTGAGTATTGTCAATTATAAAGTGACATTTATATATTTTTTTCTCAACTTAAAAACCACGAAAATTAATCCCCACGAACTTACTTTTGGATACAAAACCACGAAATTTTAACCCCACGAAAATTAATGCTTATACAGAATTCTGGATATATTTTCAATCTTTTTTTAAGATTTGCAGGAAAGTTTGGTATAATTCCCGTATTTGTAAACTCCGAAAGTCCACTATGAGCTTAGATGTTGCTTTACGGTTACCAAAAGCAAGTGTGTTAACTATTCTGAATGCGCATTAATAATCAACATAAAGCCTTCGATGGAAGTATATAATGCTTTTCTGATATTCATTTGCATCGGAGAAGGTTTTAGAATGTGACAAAGGTCTTCAGTTACAGTTACAGTTCTACAATTTGGACGGGTCGGATCCACTTAGCTAGTGTTTTTCCTATGATCTTGTAAAATAAAGGTTAACATTCGACCTTATGAAATTGCTTTCTGATGTTCGAAAAAAATGAAAAACAAAACTGTACACTTAGTCAAAACTGGATACGTAACACCTATTCCTCAATTTGAGATTGCTGAATTTTGTAAAGTTTACTTTTTTCACATTATAAAAGCAGTTTCCTAGTCCAGTAGTCATATCTTGCGGTTTTTGTAATTCTTTTCCATTCTATTTTCAAATTGGAATATTTCTTTTCAAGTACTTGAATTAATAAAAGTAGGTTTATACACTCTGGAATTTCGGCTGTTTTTGTAATTTTGACTTTTGAACAGCGGTATACTATTGTTGCCTTTATTTGTAAATAATCTTGTTGATTTGCCAAACATATATTGACAATATTGTTACTGTTGATATTTCCAAGCAAGAGGCAAAGGTGTTTTATGTGAAATTTGGAATTAAGTTAAATGGCTCTCAGAATAAGGTATACCGATGCTATGCTAACCTTTAAGGAAAAATAAACCTCATCAAAGATACTTGGCTTATCATTTTGTACGCAAGACGTGCTTTTCGTCTTCAAAAGACTCACCATTCACACTCGAATCAGTATAAAAGGCAAAACAAAGTACGAAGTTTAAAAGCAATGAGCACCAAAAGCTTTCGAAAGGTTTTGTCAAATACAGCTCAGGTAATCTATTCCTGTGAAAGTAAATAACTGTCTTTCCCTCAGAACATCGAAGAGGAAGCTGGATAGATGTATCATTTCCTAGGTATTTACATATAATGTTTCAAGCCTATTTAGCAGTATTGGTATGTCGGACTCTTGGTAGATCTTATATCAATATCTATCATTTCCGGCATTTCATCTCTGTTCAAAGTCATCATCAGCAAGGTAGAACATCCAGCATATATGTTGCCCATATGGGTTTCTAGACTTCGTCTGTAATTTTATGAGCAATTCATTTATATATGAATTTTACAAATGAGTGGGTAGACCCCTCCTTGACGCACATTTGTTTACCCTTCCGTTTTACTGTGAAGGTAACACCATTGTACAGCTCCTCAATAATGGTTCACAAATTCGAATTCAATCCATTTTTATACTACCTTTCTATCAATATTTCAGGACTTACAACGTCAAAGGACTTCTGGCTATCAAGTATTGTGAAAAAGATCGTTTGCTTTCCCAAAATCTCTAAGCAGGCTTCAGAAAGTATTAGGACTGCCATGTTTTGATTAAATCTTGTATAAATCCAAATTGTAATAGAGATTGGCCAGATTTCATAAGATTTGCCTTGTCCAAAATAAAGTAATTACATACTTTTCCAATAACTGAAGTAACTACGTAGTTTTCTTTTTCTTATAATAGTTTTCTGTTTTTGACAATTGGCGAGACTGTCACAGTTTTAAACATTGATGGTACGTTTTCCTCTAATAGAATATAGTTTCAAATCATCTGAAGTATTTTTAGTAAACTATCATAAAGTTTTTTTTACATGTTCTGCCGCTATGCCATTTTCGTGACGTCTGCTGCTTTCATATTTTGAGTTGCTTTATAGCTTTCTTGATATTATTCTCTATAATGGTAGTTTCGGTATTGATACTAGTAGTCAAAAGTTGCATACCACGTACTTTGTTGATTTGTTGATGCATAATTTGCAAACTAAATTCAAATTGACAACTTTTGGACGTCTTGTTAATTTTCTGACGTGATAGAGTATGAACACTAAAATGATATATTTAAATTTAATCTATCGTTACCAGTATTGTTGACTTGATTTTATTTTTCTATTTCCGTAAATTATTCAAAAGTTCTGATATATTGTGAAACAAATAAGGAAACAGATGAAAAGAGAGAAAAAAAGAAAGAGCAAATGATGTTATTTGTTCCAATTATCATAGCCTCGTTTTGGTCTTCCTTCTTGATATATTAATACCTTTGTGGTGATAATATGCAATTATTTTACCTAACGATAATAATGAAAAACGCCATAATATATATTTTTTTGATAAGGGTATACACCTGTTTAGCATTAACAAGAGTATTCACGTACTACTTTAGCCGCTGAATGCTTGGGCTTTGGCTCTTTTGGTTTTCTCTTACGAGAATTACCGCGGCGATTTCCTCGTACTAAATATCTCATATTTCCATCTCCGTCAACTTGGTACGTGCAAGTTTTGTGCTTAGTTGTTTTGGTTGCAATATAACTGTTTCCTTGGCTATTTTTTCTAAAGTTTAGTTTCGATTTGTTATCAAATTCTCTCTCTGCCCACCGAACCATTTTCGACTTTCTTTCCTGGGTTGCTTCATCCACTTTATGTGATTTGGAACGTTCGGCTTCATACCCTCCTCTTTTGATTTTTTTATTTCTATATCTGTCAGCCCATACAATAAATTGATCATCGTCACTCAGATGTGTTCTGGATTGAATTGTCACAGTTATTGACGGCCAATCCTCGCTTCGATACGTAATAATGCGTACAGTATGTTCATTTATCGGTTGTTCCATTGTTAAATATGTGCTTTGAGATGTACTGTTATTCAACAGAAAGTTAACAATTCTGATGTTACCGTAATAATAGGCTACAGATAAAGGTGACAATTTATTTGGATCATTTTCATCAATCTCCGCGCCAGATTGTACCAGTAACTTGACAATAGGTAAATTTCCGCTTCGACAGGCTACAGTTAGGGGTGTATGACACCGATGAGCGTTCGACACTGTTTTGACTATGTTGTTTGTCAATAAGTTTTCATTTATACAATCAAGATCTATATGATCTAACAAAAGTCTGGTCATTTTCTCATCGTTTCTGTAACAACAAAGGACAAGTAGTCGTGTTTGTTCCATTTTCTCATTACCAAACACTGCCTGGTAGGAACCTTCCTCGGCATGTACTCGACCCATAATGTACTCAAGTAGCCGGAAATGCCCAAAATATACTACCCAGCTAATGGCACGAATGCAATATCTTTCCTCTTTAAAATCAAAGAATGCAACATCTACTAATAAGTTATGTACCATATCATCAATATCATCAGGGTTTTCGCATGGCGTATTCTCATGCACGGAAAGAAATACCTTCTTAAAACTGTCGTATGACTTACTGTTTAACATTTCGAGAAATGCATTAACAAACGGTTCATGATAAAGTAATCTCGCCATGAAAACTTCATAGAGGTACACATATTGTAACTCTTTGTAAAGTCCTTCTGCTATATGGTAAAACTGATCTTCAGTTTTGTGGACGAAAAACGTATCGACAGTCTCATCTGAATCAAAACAAATTTTGTTTGATATAAAGTTACTTGGAAGGTACTTTATTATATTTGGGAAATCTTTCACGAACCTCCCATAATGATAGGCTAGAATATCAAATAATGAATCGTGTATAAAAGAATAACAATCGTCAATCTTTGTAACATACGTGCCTACCATTTGTTCTAACGCGTCTTTTATCTTTTTGTCTGAAGTTCCTCGGTTTAATCCACACGAGTCGTAAATGCAGTCTTTGATTTTACTTGCCGGTAATCTGTTAATTGATAGTTTGTTACCAGTGATCATACAAATAATCAGTGCAGCATAACAATCTGTATTCCTTTCTTGCATTTTATCAAATTCCATACATAGACCTTCAAATGGTTTTCTGAAAAATCTTTCACCTAGCGTTTGATACTTTTTATTGCAGGCAAAAAGTTTACAAAGAACAGGGAACATGAAAGTAGCATTTTCTAACGATATGTTTTCGTATTTTACATTTGGAACACACATTGCATCACAGTGTTTATGGAGGATTTTTCTTTTTTCTTCAATGTTAAATCTGTTTTCAACGCTTTCTAAATCAACCACATGTACTGAACAGAGGTCTTGCAACTTTGTTAATGCATTATAAACTGATTTTCTACAAGTCAATAAAATTTTAGTTTTTTGTTCGAGAGAATCAAAAATTAATGTCTTGTACCTAACAATATCATCATACATGGTCTCATTTAAGGCAAAAGATCCAACAAAATCATCAAGTAAAAATACTTGCTGTCTTTCGATGTCTCTATACTTCATTAGATCTTCTGGTGTAAATACAGGAACAACTTCCCATCCTTTCTCTTGCAGTTGTAATGCAATACAACGGGCTGTAACTGTCTTTCCAGCACCCGGACCTCCTAATATTATTACGACGTTTTTCGTCTGTACCAAATTGAAAGTATGGCAAAATCCCTGTGTTTCTTTTATAAAAACATGGTTATCTAACTTCCAATGGCCAAGTATCTCATTTTGACTTCCTGAATAATAAAAAAAAATGTATACAAATAATCACCTGTAGAAATATGAAAATAAGGGGGTGTGGTATGATTCCCAATGAGACTATCCACCAGAGACCAAAAGTTCATTACGATTTAAGATGAGACTATCTAATCCTCGGTATCTATTTACAATGTCGGTACGTTTGACTATTCCTTTTCAGAATAAAAGTCTTGAACTCTTTGTAGTTTTTATTCATTTTCTTTGAATAACAATTAACAGTTAATTGTTGTTTACCCAGACAAATTTTATTGCTATATTTTTTATGGATATTTTTATAGATAATTTTCTATCAACTCTTACAAAAACCCCAAACAAGATACTCTATTCTCTATAGTTGTAAGTAATTATATAATGTTAAGACTAAAAAAAATCTTACGTCTTGAAACAAAACATCTCATTATATAATATTGTTTATAAAAATCCTCTCAAATATAATATCAAACAAGTAGCATATAATTAATTTTCATAAGTAGTACTCAATCATAATCATGTTAGCAAATGGGGAACTACTCAGGGATACAAATTAATGTATTATATTGTTTTTAAAGGAAATGTGTTTGTAGTCTGTTTCCAGAGAAAATTATACATTTTCAACTATTATCCATGTATAACTTCCCTTCGACAGAGACAACAAAAACGATCCTTTTTTGAAACAATATATATTAATCTATTATACTAGTTTCTTAGTAAACAAACCATCCCAAAAAATTTCACTGTGAAGCAGACATATCCGTCTATTATCCCTGACTAAATTCTACAGGAAACAACCCACAAAAAAAAATTCCCTGTGAAACAATACATATTCATCTATTATCATAGGACATCGGTGACCGGGTGGTCCCAATAGTCGAACTACTGTATCACTAGCCAGTCAACACAGTCAGGATTCTACTTCGTCAAAATCATCTCTCAATTACGACACCTCAAATTTTCAATTACGAAAATGGAAGCCATTGTATGGATGACGCGCTGTCAATTAAGCTCTTGAAAACCGATAAATGTATCCACATAGCATCATTGTGATCCTAACATGACAGTTGTATTATAAAAGACAAATGTGTCAATTAGCTATTAAGCATCATTTAGTATACTTGTATACCTTTTGTAAACTTCAAACTATTATCGGATCGGTTGTCAGGAGGAATTTTCGAAAGTTAAAAAAACAATAAAAAAATTATATTTAAAATTTTTGTGGAAGGTCAGACTCAAAATTTTTAAAGAATGAAGACTAATGACCATAGATAACACACACAAAACATGGTATTTTTGACGTTATGCACAATAAAGATCCACACAAGTTAAGTGTGTCGTCAAGTGCTTTTTATAAAAAATTGTTATTCAAAATCACCTACTCTGCATATTAGAAATTTATTTCATTTGACACATATATTTCATTTCTTGGTACTTTGAATTTTTAATGTTGTTATATCAACATGTAGCCTAAAGATATAAAATAATGGAATCTGAATCGAGATGCTTCATCACATATTTTTGCTTTAAACGTTTTCAAGACAAAACAGTCAACTCAAACACGTCTGAACATAAAAAGGTGTACCGGACTTTCTCTTTTCGCTGATATTATTACCCGTTTTTAATTTTTTTCTTCACAAAAACTGTTACCGGGGGCAGAGATGTAAATACATGCTTTAAAAAGAAGAAGCTTTTATCTTTCTTCGGAATTTTTTTATTCTCATGCACAAAAGACCCACATGCATTTGTACCTACTCGTATCTTAATTACTTGTGTTTTTTTTAAAATTTTGTCTTTAATTTAAAAGTTTAGAAATATCGCAAAGCTCCATACTATAATTGGAATCCCGCACGTGGCAGTTGCGCTCGACTCCACCAATAAAAACTGACCGCCACGAAATAGTACTGAAAGTGGCGTTAATCACCAATCAATCAATCAATCAATCAACCAATCAATCAATTGATCAATTAATCAATCAATCAATCTATCAATCTATTATCCCTGACTAGTTTTCCCAGGAAACTGACAACCAAAAAACATTTCCTTTGGAAAATATACATTTTCAATTTAAATCAATGAATACATTCCCTAAAGATTGATTGATTGATTGTTGGTGTTTTAACACCACTTTTAAGCACCACATTTGGGCTATTTCGTGGCGGCCAGTTTTTATTGGTGGAGGAAGCCGGAGTGCCCGGAGAAAACCACCGACCTTCGATAGGAAAACTGACAATCCTAGTCAATTAAGATTGGAGTCGAGTGCACCTGCATGAGCGGGGTTCGAACTCACAACCTCAGTGTTGACTGGCTAGTGATTGCATAATTAGAACTAATTAGACCACTTGGCCACCGAGGCCCCATATTCCCTAAAGAAAAAACCAATAAAAAATCGTTACTTTGGGTAACAATATATTTTCATCTGTCATTCATGTATAATTATCCTTCAATCATGTCAGGTTACGATTATTTGATCACACTGGACACACGCACGATTTTTCTAAACGAGTAAAATATGTGTCAGGTAGATTAAGGATGGAAAAGTAAAGGTCAAATCCGGAATAAAATATACGTAAATGCAAATTTAAATGATTTGCAATTATATAAGTTTATATTATAACATATTTGTATTTGTAATTAGCTAACAATTATAAAGTAAAACTTATCTTTAAGACACCCTGTTCTTAAAGATATTAATATATCAGGGTACCTTGTTTGTGAAAGCTGTAGCAATAAGGTTATTGTAACAGCTTTAGACCAATAAATCAATGATCATAGTCTAAAAAAAAAATGTATAATTATCCGTGAAAGTACTCATCAAAACATTTCATTAGGAAATAATACATATTAATCTATCTATCATGACTAGTTGTCCTTCCTAGGAAAGAAACAACCAAAAGAATATTTCCCTGGAAAACAAACGTTTTGTTGTTTGTTTCCCGGGAAAATTATTCATGAATAACAATTGACAATGTAAAATTTCCCAAGGAAATGTTATTTTTTTTCATTGTTTGTTTCCTGGTAAAATCATTTATGCACAGCAATTTGATATGTATTATTTCCAATGAAGAAACGTTTTTGTGATTTGTTTCTTATGGAAATGATTCAGTTTCATAAGTAAACAAGGGATACCTTTGTTTGCTATTTTGCTTTTTTCATATATATTAATAATGCGAATGATATAAAAAAATATTTCTTTCTGTACCACTTCCAAATGTTGCAAATTATTTGTGTAATCCTCTAAAATTAAATTTGCAAACTTTAGATGAGTTCAAATAGTTATACAATAGAGAAGTTAAGCAAAGGAACTTATTCGTGTACGTCTACTTGTAGCAGGGGAAAACCCCTGAATTTCTGCGTATTACGTCATCAGTTTTGTTTGGCGCTGAAAAGTACACGTATAGGACAACGTGTGAGGCGGCGGCTACAAACAGGTAAGTCCTTGTGGCTTCTATTTCTTTCAAACGAAATATTGTGAATGAAGTTATATATTTACAGAAACTAGAGAATGTGCCAGAATTATAAATTATATTTAAAGCTTTTATCACTATAGTGTGAAAGCTCAGTGAAACGGTAAAAGGGCAAACCATGCGATGTAAAATGACGGCATATTGAAGGTTTGTCCAATAGCAATTTCAATCAAATATAACAACTTCAATTAGATCACTAGTATTATTCATAGTTTCGCCAAAAATCATGTGACAGCGTTTTTGTCGCTTTTTAAGAAGTTCATCCTGGTATCTCTGATGAGTTTATTTATAATCAATACATGATTTTGGGGTCGTTAAAAAAGGGGGTTGGTGGGCAGGTGCCCGGTAAATTATGTTGTCAAATTAGTTCAAACTCGGTATTCTTTCCGAGGTCAAAAGAAGTTAATCAATGATATTGCCTAAGATGTGTGATGCAGAATAAAATTCAAGGGGGACTAATAGTGTTTTTTAAAAAAAAAAGTAAGGGATGTCAAATTTTTTTTTCGCACAAATCCTTTTGATTTTTTTTTAGAATGAACAGTGAAAACAGAAAGAAACAGGTCAGTTTTCAGCCGAAAGATGACCTTGGTCTACTCCGAGAGGTTTTAGCAAAAAAAACCATTCAAGAATAAATCAGCCTGGACTGAGATAGCTTCAATATTATCTAGATTAGATTTCCAACTGGATACAAGACGTGTTAGAGAAAGAGCATGTTTGCTACTTTAGCATCATAAGAAACAAAATGCCGAGTTTTTGAAGAGGTACTATTAATATATCATGATTACTTCAAATTTACTGAAAATAAATCAACTTACAAAAGTTAATATCCACAAAATAAATCTGATAAAAAATCTCATATGCGTCATTGAATGTTTAACAAATGAAAGTGTTACTAGTTAACATATATGTGTAGTTATTGAAAAATATATGGTTGAAATCACATTTTGAAAATGATTGAAAAAAAATGAATGAAATGAGTTTTATTCATAATTATTATCTAATTCCAATATTTTCTTTTTCAAAGTGGTATTATATAAAAAAAATATTAAGGAACAAAAACGTTATTTTAAAACAATTTTGACCAGAGACTATTCTGTACATTTAACTAATTCAATATTTCTTGCATGTCAATTGCATTCTCGTAATATTATAAAATTGTTATATTGCTTGAATATTCCAGATCAGGAATATATGAGGAGTACGGGGAGAAGAAAATTTTATTGCAGGAAATCATAACCTTGTTTGAAGATGAAGAGCAGCAGAAAGAAAAAGATAAACAGAAAAGGGAAATGGATGAAAATCGTGGCAAAGACATCAGAAAACAAGCCATGGAAAATATTATCCCTACAAAAAGTAAAAAACTTCTTTATTGTGATTAATTTATCATCAAATTTTATACTTTTGATATTAAATCAGTTATATAGATAGATAAACATGAGTATTGCTTTAGAATGGGCCAAGTATAAACTCAATGCAAAGAATATAGTACATAACTTAATTGTTTATTATATAAATATTTTCAAAAGATGTCATTATTTTAC